ACCGGGGGTGTAACCGGGCTTGTAACCGGGTCTGTAACCAGGTCTGTAACCGGGTCTGTAACCAGGTCTGTATCCGGGTCTGTAACTGGGTCTGTAACCGGGCCTGTAGCCTGTAACCGGGCGTGTTTTCTATACCACAAGGATACAAACAAAGACCCAAAATTTAACTGAATTGTGTCTTTCATTTCAAACTGACCTGTTACTGATGTTATGGTGACTGGTGGCCCACATTAATGACCCTAATCCTAACCCTAACCCTTCATAATTGTGAGAAATAAATATTTTTTGGTTAAACTTGTTTGGACTTATTGTACAAACCTATTTAATGTACACTATTTTAACATAATATGAGTTTAATTAAGTGTTTGAAAGATTCATTTCACTATTTTTAAATTAATGTCTATATTGCCATGAGGCAATTATGATTTTCTTGCTTGGAATCTTCCTATTGGTGACCTAATCAAAATGGCCGACTTGGATGTGGGCGGAGTTGGATATGTACTTGATTAAGGGTAGCGTGTTATTATTAGCCATTAACCGCAGCTAGCAGTTCAAGGCTAACATCTTGTTAATGACCATAAACAACGTAAAAAAATACATAAATAAATCGTTTGGTATCGATACTTTTGAAAATGAGTATCGTATCCGGATACAACGTTTTAGTATCGATACTTTTGACAACCCTACCCGCTAACAAACACTACACAAGGATCCGGTGTAAGAGGGAGCTGCAGCTTTCTGCTTGGCTAAGCTAACGGGGCCTTCTCCTAACTAGGTCACGAGTTTCGTTTTAGTGCAGCCGAGCGAGGGCTCCTCGTAGCCAGAAAATGGCCGTATTAATATTTTAGCGTCCTCTTTATTCTTGTATTTTTGGATTAGAACGAGGCAGACGGGCGTACACAAAGCACATAACATTTAAAAATGTTGGCCGTTTTATAGGAGTACAATGCATCGTGAATTATGACACAGCAATGATGTTCACAGGAAATGAGTCTGTGATCAGAGCTGGAATAAAAAAGCTCCAAACATGTATCTACAAGTTAGTTTGTTTGAACAGAGACAATAGACCAACGCCCGTTCTCTCACAGGTGACTGGCTCAAATGTAACGTCACACTGTTTCACCCCTCAGCCATTTTAGCCTTTATCGTTATTAAAAGTGTTCCATTTACATCTTTTTCTTTTAACAGAGACAGATTTTCAAATGCCAAGCAAAATGCTTTAACCCTTTAAAGCCTGATCCAAGAAAAATAGGGAGAATATTTGGATTTTTTTAGTCTGAAATCTTTCTTTGGCCCCTCAACAACATATGAAGAAAAAAAACAGAAATTATTCTGATCAAATTAGCGTGCAATAAGTCAAAAATATATGTTGGTGTAGTGTTCTACTGGCTGTTATCAGGTATATCTGAATGTGTACAACAGGGGTTTGAGCAAAGCTTTTACCACTGAATGATGCAAAAAGTCTCACATCCAAAAGACTTCAGAAACTGTATGAATCAAATATGACACATTTGGCATTATAGGGTTAACAGAGACAGATTTTCAAATGCAAAATGCTTTGACAGCTTTAGATGAAAAGGTGTGGCCAATAGTCACAGTATTAGCAAATTGGGTCCAAACAGCTAAGAGGAGAAGAGGCCGATTGGTCTAATACTCAAAACAGAGTGAATACCGAAGGGAAAGAAAGCACAAAAACCAACCCTGCTTCTAGCGTGTGCAGTGCCTAAGACACGGACACATCTATTATGGATGAGGGGTCGGCCATGTCCCTGCATAGCGCATGAGTGTGCACTACTGGGAAAGATAAAAGCACCAGGACTGTTCTCACTGTGGAGATCTTTCAGCAAACAACTGGCCTTCATCTGCCCAGGACTCATATCAACCTTTTCAGAAAAGACTGTAAAATTATTCTTTGTGCTTCTTGGTGTCGGTTAACTTGCAGAAGAGGTGTTTTTACGAAAAAACAGTTTCTGGACGTGTTCAGGTTTTTTTCAGTCCACACATCTGCACAGACAGGTTTATATGAGTAAAGTCTTTGATGTTTTAAGGCCATTAATTAGAGCTATTGCATCATGCAGTCACTGTGTAATTTTGATAGATAGATAGATAGATAGATAGATAGATAGATAGATAGATAGATAGATAGATAGATAGATAGATAGATAGATAGATAGATAGATAGATAGATAGATAGATAGATAGAT